AAAACGGTCATACAGTGTAAAATAAAAAAAAAAATCTAAAAATGTTGAAATCTGCTCGACAGAAATTTTCACCTTATCTTCGCTGTGAACATTCGAGAATGGATGAATAAACTCAGGAGCTATGCCAATGTTTAATAATGCACGAGATATAATAGAAGCAATTGATTGGAATATTATAAAAATTTTAAATTCAACAGCCATGAACACAGTAGCCACTTATAGCCGTTGGAAATACAAATGTTTCAAAATCCCAACCCAAAACATGAAAAATGATTCAAAAACCATACTACAAAACATCAAGCAAAAATTTAAATTCTCCAGAAAATTCCTTAGATAAGACGTTACTCGTGAAAAAATTTAGAAAAGGTTAAGGCGCCCAAAGTACCACATTGCAAAATTTGCAATGGTGTTTTGTTTGCTTGACCCTCATTGCTAGGATAACGTCTCGGACCCCGAACATTGACTTCATCTCATGTTCATACATGATAAAAAATGGAATTTCTATTTGATTGTAGATCTTAATTGGCAAAAACAAAATATGAGTAAAAACTAATGCTTTCTACTCTATTATAAAATGAAACAAGCATATTTTTAAAAGAGAATTTTACATTGGAACACCAAAAGCCATAATATAGACTTTGTATGAGTTATTCATTGTTTCTATAAACTGGTTTTTAAGCGAAAATATTCTGGACCAAGAAATAGGATTCAGAAAACATTACTCAAAATATAAAGAGATAAGCTGTTATTTAATCATCAAGAATATAATATCAGCTGTGACAAATAAAGGACAGTCAGATGGGAAACAATTATAATTAAGTGATTTCTATTTATTTCTACTGACGACGAGTTGTAATGTGGCCGAGTGGTTAAGGCGATGGACTCGAAATCCATTGGGATATTCCCACGCAGGTTCGAATCCCGCCGACTGCGGAGTTGTTGTTTTTTTTTTACATGCAGACAAAATATTAAAAATTAAAAATGCTTTCCAAATTCTTCTGTATAATTCCCAAAGGAAGTAGGAATTTTTACATTATTATATTTACATATAAGTAGACATATTCCTCACAAAATTGGTTTGTTAGAGGCATCAATGTTTCAAACTTAAATTGGGCAACATGTAAAGCTTAAAACACTTAATATTACGAAGTACTGCATTTGACTAATAATTTATCAAATCTATTTTTTGTTTGACTAATCCACATTGTGTCCTGCATCGCGGGACGGATATCTCATGATTAATCTGCTCATGGATGGAGGGGGATACTTGAGGAGCATAGAGAAGAACTTGATAGTTTATGCATAGTGATATTATGTGTAGTGAGTTTATTAAAAGTTCCTCGTCCATTGCATTTTTTATAATTTTCGTCAGATATGTATGAGTCTTGGTAGCAATAACGGCATTACAATATTTATCAGAAACTAATAGTAAAAGTGCGTTGTAACTTTTAATATGCGACTTGATGGTTAGTGCACTGTTCTTTACTGTGGATGTGTGGGTTTGTCACTCTACGGTCTTTTTGTGAACATTTTAGGCTAATTAAATCGGGACCTAAAGTTTAATGGGATTCCGAGCCGCTCACAAAACATCCGTGTGCCACTGATCAAAAGGTGAACCTGAAGCCTGTGGTAAAAGCCAGAGCGCTAGCCATCAAGCATCTTGCTGTTGAGGAGCTCAGTTTAAAACCAGGGGTGGCCAACCCGCGGCCACATGTGGCCCGCCTGGAATATTTTATGGCCTGTGAGATTTATCACACTTTTACAAAATATATTTATTTTATAATGTCCAAATTAGGGAAAAACAACGTATTAAAAATACATTATGTGTGCATCCATATATTCAAAAATTAAATTTGACAAATTCTTGATATTCTTGAATATATGACATATATTGTCTGCTTTATTTATGAGTTTATAGGTATGAGTTCGCTGAATAATTAAATTATATTCTGCGGACTCATGATGCGCAATCATCTTGGAACATCTAATATAACAGGTTCTATATTTCACTTTAAAGTGACATCAGTGACGCAGTGACCATTCCTAATTACACAGTTGATTGTTGCACAGAGCAAACCAGACTCTTAGTTGAAGTCGTTAGCGCTTTTAGTTTCAACTTACATCCGCGAATAGTTTTTCTAAAATGAAATTGACTCAACACAAAAACAAGCCCAAACGTATAACGGACGCGAACCTGCAACACCTATTACGATGTGCAAATACCCAAATGAAGATCATTTGCAAAAGCTAAGTGAAAGAGTGGAGAAACATATATAGCACTAGTAAAATAAAAACATTTTTGAATGATTTCATTTTTTTAATATTATTTATATTTATATATTTTTTATATTTCATGTTATATATTTCTTTACAATGTGCGTTTAGTATCATTATTATCATATTATCTGTGTTTTACATGTAACAATAAAAACAAAAATAATAACTCGTTTGTGTTTTAATTTTACACTCAAAAAATGTCTACAGTGGATCTAAATCTAATATGGGGATATATAATTTATGTGCGACCAAAAAGATTATATGATGGATTTCAAAAAGTGGCCATCCCTGGCCTAAGACTTGAATTTAATTTCTATATTGATCTCCAATCTTTTAATTAATAAAAAGAACGAAAAAATATATGAGTAAAAACTAATGCTTTCTCTATTATAAAAATAAAACAAGTACATTTTTAAGATTATTTATTAAATTTCTACACATGCTTCATAATATAACCTTTATAATTATACGTTGTTTCTCAATAGCTTCTAATAGCAAAAATAAGATTCCGCAAAAAAAGATTACCCCATAAAGATACAGCTATTTAATCATCAAGAATATCATACCAGCTGTGATAACACAAGGACAGTCAGATGGGAAACAATTGCAATTATAATTTCTATTTATTTCTACTGACAGCAAGCAGTCGTGGCCGAGTGGTTAAGGCGATGGACTCGAAATCCATTGGGATCTTCCCGCGCAGGTTCGAATCCTGCCGACTGCGATGTTTTTTTTTTTTTTTTTTTACATCCGAACAAAATATTAGAGATTAAAAAATGTTCTCCCAAATTCTTCTGCATAATTTACAAACGAAAGTAGGAATATTTTTATAATATTATATTCATTATTTTTATTTTTATATTATTATATTATATTTATTTATTTATTTTGTGTGTTTTTTTTCCTTCTTTTAAAAATGGAATAAAGAACTTCCAAAGTTGTCAAAATTGAAAACTGAAATACTATTTTTGTTGTTGTTTCTTATCCTATTTGATAGACAGCAACATCTAGATCAGGGGGTGGCCAACCCAAATGATATTGCAGGGCCACTTTGGAAATGCATCCTAACTCCGCGGGCCGCATATTAAAATTATATATCCCCTATTAGATTCAGACACACTATAGACGTTTTTTTGGAGTGAAGAATTGAAACATAATGAGTTATTATTATTGCTTTATTATTCTTACATGTAAACATAGATAATATAATAATAATGATACTAAACGTACACCGTAAAGAAATATATAACACTAAAAATGAAATATAAAAAAATATAAAAGATAAAAAAAATTTAAATAAATTAATAGTTTAAAAAAAACTAAAAAAACACGCTCTTAGAGTTAATCAAACTAAAAAAGTAAAAAATAATTGTTAACATAAGAAAAAAATGACTGACGAGAAAATGAATGTCACTGTTCTAAAAGTGTGGGGTGCTTTGTATGACATTTAAAACTAACTTTGCATTTCGGAATGAAACTAGTGAAAGATTATAACGATTGATATCGAGCACCCCACGCTTTTAGAACAGTGACATTCATTTCTCGTCAGCCATTTTATTCTTATGTTAACAATTATTTTTTACTTTTTTTGTTTGATTAACTCTAAAAGCGTGTTTTTTTTTTAAACTATTCATTTATTTTTTAGTTTGATTAACTTTTTTGTTTGAAAGGCGTGATTTTTTTAGTTTTTTAAACTATTCATTTATTTTTTACTTTTTGGTTTGACTCACTTTGAAAAGCATGTTTTTTAGTGTTTTTAAACTATAATATTTAAATGAGGTCCCGGTACAGAGAGTGGAACTATAGTTCTTACAACAATTTAATTGTGAGTAAAACAAAGGCTAAACGCGAATGTGCCGAGCCAGCCAGGATTCGAACAGAGAATCTCCTGATCCGTAGTCAGGCGCGTCATCCGTTGTGCCACTGTCCCACGTTGATTTGAATGTCTTTACTGAATACTTTCATTCTACATGGGTTAAATTGCTCTTCATAAGTTAAAATAGAATCCCTAATCCTGGCGATCCTAATCACGATGAGATAATAAACTTATCAAACTATTTTAGTGTCGCCGGTCCTTGATAAGTCTACAACGTTTAAATTAAATCGGATCGCTTACAGTAGGGCAAAATCGAGCCCAAATAGTCAGTTACAAACAAACAAACAAACAAACATACAGGTGAAACTAATATAAAAGCGTATTAAAAAGAATCAACTGTTTTTCTTTCTGAAAGATGCCTGTAAATGTTTCTTTGCTGCTTAAATAGTGTATATGAGGAGAAACAGATGTCCAGGGGAAAAAAATAAGTTACATACATACAAACATACAGGTGAAGCTAATAAAAGCGTATTAAAAAATGAAATCATTAAAAATATTTATTTGACTAGTGCGATATTTGTTTCTCCACTCTTTCACTTAGCTTTTACAAATCGATCTCAATTTGGGTATTTACACATCGTAATAGGTGTTGCAAGTTAGCGTCCGTTATGTTTGAGCTCGTTTCGTGTGTGGCAACTTCATTTTCGAATAAAACGACGTTGAACACAATGCGCTGACAATTTTTTTGCGCCAGATTTCTCAAATTGGAGAATTTCTCCTTTGTGACGTAAGTGTTGTAAATATCTATTTTTGATTCGGATGTTTCAAATATGTGTTTTAATTCAATATTGCATTGTAAGTCAACCAGTTCCATTTGAAGATATTCTGAGGCCGACTCGATTTCAACATGAAAGGGAGATGAATGTATTTCAAAATTTTTCTTGTATTTGTGTAACTCTAAATTACGGAATCGGTTTTCAAAAGCAGCTGTAAGTTTTCTTATTTCTTTTGCATATTTGATATAATTTTGAATATATGGATTCACAAATATTGCATTTTTTTAATACATTGGTTTTCACTACTTTGGCCATTATAAAATAAATATATTTTGTAAACGTGTGATAAATCTCACGGGCCGCAAAAATATTCAAGGTGAGCCGCTCACCGCTCATCTATATCGTCTTGAAACCCTGGGGTCTCATAGAAGGAAGGCAGCTTCAATTGTGATGGAACTTCCGTAAGTAGAAGTCAGAATTAGCTCCATGTAGCGCTGAAGGAGGCCAGTGCCTTCCGGGAGGACTACTCTCTTCATTTGCGTATCGCATGGGATAAAATCCAGAAAACTCCCATGTGGTAGTTGAAGCAAGATGTTGAACACCCCACACTCCATAGAGACTCCTCGTTTTTGAAACAGTTTCTGCAGCAAAGCCGCCGGCGGATTGAACCTCAGCGCTAATGCTCACCAGAGGCACATGTTGCCACTGAGCCACGAGTCGGGCTTGTCAAGTCTGATTGTAATCTAATACATACATTTTCGTAGTATTAAGTTTTGAAGTTGCATGAGCCACTTAATAAGAGTAAGAGAGTCAGCCTGTTAATTGTTAATATCCGAGCATCACTCGTTTGCAATGGCCTAATGATATGAAAAGCGATCCAATTTTGCATCAAATCCCTTTTGTTTAAACCATATTTTTAAAACAGTTCTTGTAATGCAGCTGGAAATACAGAGACGGTTAATCTTAATGCTATAAGCAAGGGCTGCACCGCTGTTACTCATTTAGCATTACTCAGGAGACACGTGTAGCTTGAAGATATTCTATTGGCGCGAATAATACTACCC